ACGCCAAGCTACAACTATATTGCCAAAGGATAACCTTTTGATATGCGCGCCATTCTTGTCTACTGAACTTGGCGGGACCAATGTCATCTACATCGACCAGACTCCGATCGACGCGACCCTTTCAGCCCTCCGAAGGGCGCAAAGAACCCGAACTGGGTGGAGGGCTATCTTCGCTCAGCCTCGATGTCTTCAAGACTCTGATTGACAGGCGGAATGTTCGCAGTAGTACGATGACTTTCCCATCTATCACGGCCTCGATGGCCAGCCGCTTTGTTTTTCTTCTCTAACACTGAGTAGCGGATGAAGCCCAGCCGAAGCGACGGGGGCCGAAGCCCGACCGGAAACCAGCTCTGACGAGGAGGCAGGAGCTGAATAGACAGGCCCAACGGTGCGCGCGACCCTACGATTCAATGGCGATTCTTGCTTCAAACCCGTATTCTAATACTATGATAGAACCCACCGAGAGCGCAAAGAGATGTACATTACGAGCCTGGAGGATGAAGTACTGAGGCTCAAAGAAGTGTACAGCACAGCGTGTCAGGAGAAGGCCAAATTAATCGACGAGAATAAAGAGCTGAAAAGCTTGCTTGTCCAGCACGGTGTTTCACTCCCGAGCCCCTCCAGTCCAGAAAGCGGACCATACCAGTCAGATCAGAGTGGGCTGATCTCGCCCACCTTACGATCGTCCACCGAAGCGTCCACGGCATCGCCAAACATTCAACCACCTCTAGATACGCAAAAGCCAGGCAACAATGCGCTAGAGCAGAAAACCTTAAGCGGCATAGACTATGATCAAGCCGGCATTGATTTTGTCCTCGCGTACGATAAACCCTCCACTCCAAGAGCATGACCGTCGCCCTCCCATCACCAAGATGATAGTCGCATTCGTGCGCATGGAGCATAGCGGACAGTGCATGCATGATGTATCTTTGTGTTGACTTTGCTAACGATTGAGATGCTTGCGGGGTAATAAACAGACTCGAACGCCCCTGCATGGACCATATGCCTGTCTTGTTAGACGTTTCGAGCGAAGCCGAATGTCAGCCATGCGGCCATGCCCTGATGGTGTCATGTCCGCCCCGTCCATTTGACGACTTGTCACCAGAAGACACATTTGGCCAGTGCCCGCTCCGTAGCGGCCCAAGTTGCGGGCAGAAGACATGGAAGCTTGAGAAGGGTGACCTCTCAAAGCTGTTGGAACTCAGTTCCCAACTCGACCTCGACGGGGAAGTCACCCCAGTGATGGCATGGACCATGATCCTGGCGCATCCAAGGAGTGGAGATCTGAAGGCTCAAGACTTCGTCACGCTGGCTGGAGAGTTACAGAAGAAGATCAGATGCTACGGGTAAGCTCCTTCCACATCACATTACCAGCCAAATACTCTTTTCGAGCATTTTACTCAACGGATCGCAGGTTCGGCGCAGTCACCGAGGAATTCGAGGTGCGAGACGCCATCGAAAATGTCCTTGGTAACCGGCTCGACTGTCGACAGATGGAGGGTATAATTGCAACTAACCAGAATGGCGCGGTATCTGCTTAGGGCGGGTAGGCGATTATCCAGTATAACAGATAATATCTACCCACATCTCCTGCATGTTAGTGCGCACTTCGGTTAGAAGGATAGTGCCGAAAATTCAGTGCCCCAGTGGTATATCGGGAGAGCCTGAGCAGCCTTGTGCCATTTGATCACCAAGGGATCTATTTTATATAATGAATTGAAGTTGAAATTTACTTATTTCTAAACAGTAGACAGCAGTAGACAAACAGGACTGAGCCTGCAAATATGTATGAGACACTGCTGGTGGCGCGGGGCTTTGCAACTTTTCGTTAGACAGCCCCACACCCCACCACAAATTCGTTTCTCGCGATTCCAAATTCTTGTCAACGAGTGAGCCTGAAAGGGAAAGCCTCACTACTCACCCTGCAGCATCCAGGCCACTTTCCTAAGCTCCTCAGGATCGACTCAAGGAAAGCAAAGATGTCTGCCGACACACTCGACTACGTTCGCATATGTGAGAGCTGCCCTCCTGGCGACGGCTGGGGGCCCTCCGTAACCACCGAGACCACCCTCGATGGTGTGCCTTATGCGCCTTTCTCCAAGGGTGACAAGTTGGGTCGCATGGCCGACTGGACTCTGGAGGGCAAGGACCGAGAGCGTGGCGGTCGTATGCAGTACAACCGCAGCTACAGAGGTAGGGCATCTAGAGACAGTGATTTCCCTTGGTGATCAAAAGGCTAATTTGATTCTTGACTCCAGACCAACAAGTATACGGTGCCAGCCATGCTGTCACCTTCAACGCCCCCGCTGCCGAGGACGAGTCCACATTCTCCATTGTCACAAACACACGAGACTCCGCCAAGACGAGATATGGCCGTGGAGCCGTCTTCACTCGCGGCCGTGGCCAACGTGGTGGCCGAGGCGATGCTCGCGGTGGGCGTGGCCAGGCTCAGCGATCCGGTCCTGGTGGTCGACAGAGTGGCTACGACCGTGGCCGAGGTGCTGGTGGAGCGCGTGGCCGCCGCTTTGGCTGGAAGGACTACGACAAGCCAGCCCGCAACCGAGATGCCAGTGTCGCCATCCGTGCTGACTGGGAGCTTCTTGAGGAGATTGACTTCAACCGTCTGGCTAAGCTGAACCTCGACACCGACGAAGGAGAGGATCTCGAGGACTACGGATTCCTCTACCCCTACGACCGCTCCTACGACAAGCCTCCCGTCAAGGGCTCCGAGAGAAAACTTACAGCCATCGACCGTGCCGCATACAACGTCACCACCTCAAACGACCCCATCATCCAGGAGCTCGCCGAGAAGGACGAGGCCACCATCTTCGCCACAGACAGCATCCTGTCCATGCTCATGTGCTCTACCCGTTCCGTCTACCCCTGGGATATCGTCATTGTTCGCCAAGGAAACAAGATCTTCCTCGACAAGCGCGAGAATGCCACTCTGGATATGGTGACCGTTAACGAGAACGCCGCCGACTCTCCTCTGGATGCTTCCGAGGGCAGCAAGGACAGCGTCAACCAGCCCGCTGCCCTTGCTGAGGAGGCTACCTACATCAACCACAACTTCGCCAACCAGGTCGTCAACGAGAGCGAGTCCGCCAAGGTCCAGATGGCCCACAGCAACCCCTTCTACAACGCCTCAGAGGACACCGACCCGCCCGCCAGCAAGGCCTACAGGTATCGAAGATTCGACCTGTCGACCAACGAGGAGGACCCCGTCTACCTCATCGTCCGTACCGAGGTCGATGCCGTCCAGAAGAACAGCATCAGCGGCGAGGATCAGCTCATGACCATCAAGGCCCTGAACGAGTTCGACAGCAAGGCCCAGGGCAGCGGCGGCGCCCTCGACTGGAGGAGCAAGCTCGTCACCCAGCGCGGTGCCGTGGTGGCGACCGAGATGAAGAACAACAGCTGCAAGCTCGCTCGCTGGACCGTGCAGAGCATCCTATCCAAGTCCGACATCATGAAGCTTGGGTACGTATCAGTCTCATCCGTTTACCGTTTGACCAACGCTAACATTTATCTTTTCTAGTTTTGTTTCCCGTGTCAACCCCCGCTCCAACGACAAGCACGTCATCCTGGGCGTCATCGGCTGGAAGCCTCGCGACTTCGCCAACCAGATGAACCTGTCGCTTAACAACGGTTGGGGTATCGTCCGAACCATTGCCGACATGTGTCTCCAGCGCGACGACGGCAAGTTCGTCCTCGTCAAGGACCCCAACAAGTCCATCCTGCGCCTGTACGAGGTCCCCGTCGGCACCTTTGAGGAGGATGAGGATGATGAGGATGGGCCACAGGAGGAGGCCGAGGCTGAGGGAGCCGAGGAGTAAATTACGAGTTCCATGTCGCTAGAGAAGTTAAAATTTAAAAAGATTGTTTTCATGTGTCATGACTAGGGGGTTTAGACAGGCCGAGTTTTCTCTTATGTTTGAAGCCGCTCAGCTTCAACAGTGTTTTGTTGCCAGGCTGCTTGAAACCATATAAATTCGGGTGGAGATTTGGCACACTGGTAGCAGAGAGGGTCAACGTTGAAAAAATGAGCTCTTTTATTTTTATGATCATCTACGTGTTTGGGATCTCTCCTAAGTCTATACAGCGGTTCAGATGAACCACCGTAATCGTAACTTTCTGAGCCATGGATTTCGTCTAACCCACAGATGACCAGACGTCTGGCTTTTGATCCCATCGAGATAATCTCTGATGAATGTCCTCCGTGCTGAGAGTGCGCACTTCCAAAAATAAAGCAACATGAAATACCATACACGGAGGATTGAATCCTCGCTCCTCCATTCTCGTCTCCTGGTCGCACCACCACTGTCTCACCGATTCCCACTGTCTCACCGATTCCCACCGCATCCCCAAAATTCAAATGAGCATGAAATGCGTTCAAGACTCATTCAATCCTTGCTCCTTCATTCTTGCCTCCTGTTCGTACAAACCACTCTCTCTCCGCATTCTTTGAAATCAAATCAACATGGAATGCATAGAGAACCCCGATCCTTGTTCCTTGACTCTCGCCGCGTTCCAAAAACTCATACCAACCCGAATGTGTAGAGAACTGAATCCTTGTTCCTTCACTCTTGTCCTTTGTTCGCACAAACCACTCTGTCTTCGCATTCCCCAAAAGCAAATCAAGCCAAACCGAAATGCATAGAGAGCCCAATCCTTGTTCCTCGACTCTCAGCGCATTTCCAAAGCTCAAATCAACCTGAAATGCAGAGACTTCACTCCCTGTTCCTTCATTGCCGTCTCACTTTCGCACATACCAGTGTCTCGCCATACTCCTAAAACTCAAAATCAAACATGAAATAGCAAAAGGGTTCACTCGTCGTTCCTTCACTCTTCTCTTGTCCACACAAAAAAAATGTCTTGCCGCACTTTGGGGAAAAGTAAAAAACCAACACGAGATGCAAAGCGACATCGATCCTCATTTCTTCATTCTCGGCTCTTGCCCCGCACAGTCACTCTCTCTTACCGCGCTCCTAAGACTTGAATCAAAGACCAAAAGGGTCCACTCCATTATCCTTGAGCTTCATCTCTTGCTCACACAGCCACTGCCTCGCTGCGTTCTTCACCGGGTTCAAGTTAAGCGTGGCAATTGCGTGGTAGGTCGCCGCAAGGATCGCCTGGAAGGCCGCGGACTCGCTCTGCGTCTGCCGGTGCAAGTCCCCTTCCTCCTAGGTGCGGGAGATCTCGTGGCGGAGGCACACATCAAGGGGCCAGTTTGGGAGAGCTTTGCTGGTTTCGAGAGCTCTGTACACGAGCTCTTCACCCCAGGCCGAGGGGCGGGGTGAGCCCGGCTTCTCGTGGGGTCGTTGGGGCCGGATGGGATCTAGGTAGGGCTTTGGCGCAGGGTCGGAGGCCGGCTGAGACTGACGCTGGACAGTCCTAAATAACTCATCGATAGGGGGCAACTGGACCCCAGGGTTGCGGGACGGGGCCTGAATCGGCTGGTGGTACTCTGCAAACGAAGTGTTGTTCTGGTTTGCAAGAGAATAAGCCGTGAGAGCATTGGATGCTCTGGAAGCCGCCAGATCGTTGGATGCTCTGGGAGCCGCCAGATCGTTGGATTCTCTGGGAGCCGACAGAGCATTGGATGCTCGGCGAGCACTCCGGCTGTTGTTAAGGTACCCGAGGTCAAGTGGAGAGGGAACTGGCCTTGCAGCCCCCCTTCTTGGGTGTGATATATCTGTCGACTCTATTTTAATAGGTGTATATTGGCGCCGGTTTCCGTCACGGGCATGAGAGCTCTGCTTGTTTCCATCGCGAGCATGGGAGCTTTCCGCAGGTCCATTTGGCCGGAGGGAAGTTCCATGATGTGGGATCGGAGGCGGAGGATGTGGGTAGCGAAACGTAAAGTTAGCACTGGGTGGTTGCTCGGTCTGACTGAAAGAAGTAGCCTGAGCGCCGTTGTGGCTATTCTCTCCTCCATAACCCTTTCGTGAAGCTGCCCATGGGCCGGCGGTTGTTTCTGCGGATGGTCGGTTTTCTGATGCTCCGGTCAAACCACCAACACTAGAGACGGAATCCTTGGCTGGGGCCCTGTTTGAGAGCCCCCCGTACCGTTTAGCTCCCCTGCCTCGGGCTCCTCCACCACGAGGCTTTGGGGGGAGTCCGCCACGAGGCTTTGGGGGAAGGGAGCTTGAGGAAGTGGCGGTAACCTTCGTCTTCTTGGGGACCTCCCAGTTGAGGGAGCCAGGTTTGATGTGGTGGACTTCATCGTCCTCCAGTCCCCCCGCGCCGACGCATTTTCCGCAGACAGTTAATTTGCAAACGTTACACTGGTGGACAACACCTCTGCTTGCTAGGGAGCAGAGGTCGCACTTTGTCATGGCGACATAGGATGGGGACCAGCCGTGGTGAGGTTCGTCACCGGCCCACATCCAGGAGGAGTGTCGGTTGCTTTTAAGCCTCTTCGCAGGTTGTCCAAGGTTGTCAACTTCAGCATCTGCCGTGGACTGGTCCGCAGGGACAGATGTCAGTTCGGCATTTGCTTGATTGTGGCTTCTCTTTCTGCTCATTGCTTGAGAATCCGCCAGGTTTGGTCCTGCTGATGGTGCTAGATCAGAAGGATGATCCTTCTTCCCGTGAGGGTTTGGTTCCATGGCGATGGCGGTGGTAGTTGAGTAGCAAAAATCAAAGCGTTGACTCTAGGTGCGATTTTTGTATTGTCTTCTTTAGCTTGTTGGTTGTCGTATGTTGGGGAAACTGAGTTTGGTGAGCTTTGATAAAGGTCATATGAGAGCAAGTTTCAGTTCTTTGGCGGACAATAACCATGCAATGCTGGGGAACAAAGGGCGTGGGAAACAGCGTTTTATGGGGTTTAGCACCATCATCTCCTCGTCAAGAGGGAATTGAATCACTCATGGGAAGGAATAGGATTCACTGGCGATACTCGTAGAAGGCCATAGGTCTCGGGTGAGAAGTGGAGGGGGGGCACGGGGCAAAGAGACCGAATCCATTTCGTGAATCATCGCGTCTGATCTTTGGATGCAAGGGCATCAGACGGTTCTCGCTGTATTCGGCGGATCGGAGGAGAGTTTCACTCTGTAAGGTTTGGTTTTGGGGGGGAGGGAGGAGGGGAGTAAACAATCGTTATCCCAATAAAAGATTAGTAAATTTAGCTCTACCTTGTATCTTGAGCGGGGTTTTGATATTGAAGATGGGCTGAGGTGAAGAGATCACCAAGTAATAGTTCAAAGGTGTGCAAATAGATGCGGGTGTGATGAGTTGGAAAGATCTTCTTTCGGAATTGTTCTTTTGGAAGTGTGGTGAAGATCACAGATTAGCCAAAATGGTGTTCTGAAAGAAAAGATCGAAGTAAACAAACCACGCCGCGTCGAAGTGAGGGTGAGGTGAAGGTGAGGTGAGGCTGAGGCTGGCTCTCTTGTCTATAGGGTAGGTCCCCGAACCCACGTGTGGCTTTCGGTGGCTGGTGCGCCTCGAAGCCCAAGTCCAGGTGATTTGGGCGACAGCTTCAATTCCTCTCCACTCCGCTCCACTCCCCTGTTGGTCTTACGAGCGGTCCCTGTGGCACCAATCTACCGGCCCCTCTTTCGCCCATGTTCATGATGCTGACTGGTTGTGGCGGTGGTACGTAAGTATCTGGGGCCGTTGGCGCTCCAATCTTTTTATCAGGGTCTTTCCAGTTCTCCATGTCCAGGGCGATTGGGCTGCGCGTATCACCTCTTGGGCAAAGATGGGAAATGCAGCATTGGCAGCGAGGCTAGTGACCCCCACCCACACCAAGGTTTTTGCTAGGGCTTGCTATGGCATAGTTGCTATCAATGTAGGTCTTAGGTAGGTGGCTTTCGGCTGAGAGCCAAACGACATGGTGGTGGCTGGCGGCGACGCCGACAAAACCTAATTGTGCCAAACGCTCGCCAGTCAGGAGTGATCCCGGTTGTTCCGTCTGGTCCTCAGCCGAATGGAGCTGAATATGACGACAGAGGAGACTGTTCGGTCTTTTGTGTTCTGCGCTTGAATGAATGAGACATCGTGCCCTTTTCTTGGTCCCTACCATCGAGTTCGTAACGAACTGAAGCTGGAAGCTTGGCACTTTCCTAATACGGGCTGTATTGCAAGCGCCAGATGCCGTTGGGCAATTGGGGACTCGTCATTGCTCAAGCCGTAGAAGAGGTTCAGTTCAACAGCTTACGGCAAAATGCCCGAGGTCCCTTGCAGAGGCTCTGTGGGGGAAAAGAACGAGGGAAACCAGAGTCAATGTCTTCTACGAGGCGTCTCTACCTACATCTAATAACCACCGTGACTCTTGCCAAGAAGGAAATGATCCTCCCATCAGGACCACCTCATTTGTGCAACTTCCTAGGAAGTTTACTCTGGATATGCTTTTAACGTCCGCCGGATCGGAATTACGTCTGCCGGCCCTACCCTGTGCATCCTGACCGAAGGCGCTACTGAAACAGAGCCGGCACGGGACAAGCGGGAATGGAGAATTTGGGCGGGGCTGTCCCCGACCGCCATCATGCTCGAGGATCCGACATGGTCTAGGCCGTAGACTCCCTGTGGTAGTACGGACAGTAGGTACGTACTGTAGCTTTACTTTTGCTCTTTCCAGGCTGTACGCGCCATCTCAAACTCTTGGCTCGGCATGCTTTTCCACTCTGCTCTCTCTCCCTTCCGCTCTTCTCCAGAACTTTTCTTCTTCTCTTCTCTCCCTCCCATCGCTCTCCTCCCTCTCGCCATCGTCGCATCACGCCCCCCAGAATCCTCCTGCGCACACTGAGCTCTCTGCCTCCCGCGATGTCTGCCAACGACTACTACAACCAGCAGGGTGGAGGCTACCCCCAGCACCCCCAGCCTGTAAGTTGAAGCTTCCCAGAGCTCTCCCAGCGCCGCGTGGCCCAACCCCACTAGTTTACTTGGCTGCGATACCAGCAAAGAGCCCCAATCGCCAAAACGACAAATCTCGTCGCAATTGCAATTAACTTCTCGCGCTGACCATCTCGCTCGTCGCAGTCCTACGGCCCTCCCCAAGGCCACTACAACGGCCCCCCGCCCCAGCAAGGCGGCTACTACCAGCAGGGTCCTCCTCAGCAGGGCTACGGCGGTCCGCCGCCCATGCAGTATCAGCAGCAGCCCCCTCCGGAGCACAAGGGCAACCACGGCGGCGGCGATAGCGGTGTGAAGGGCCAGCGGAACTGCCTGCTCGCCTGTCTGGCCACCATCTGCTTCTGCTGTGCGGTCGAAGAGTGCTGCGAGTGCTGGTAGGTTTTTTCTTGCGCCCATAATATCCCCAATTCCGAAACATGGAGGGCTGCCCTTTTTCAATTTGATCCAGATTTGCTAATATGACCAACTTTTTTGTTATAGCTGCGAATGCTGCGAATGCTGCTGCTAAAAGCTAGCCCACGATCATTTTACCACAATCACACAAACACCTTCCTTTCACCACCGTTTTCTACGACCTGTTCTGTCTTGGGATCCTCCGAGGGAAACAAGGGATGAGGCATGAAGGGATATATATGGGCAGTCGAGATGGAGCTCCACTGGGATGGAACGACGGTTGCTTGAATCGCGAATAATCGCATTGCCCATCAACGAGAGGTCATATGTTACAATGACACATCCGAGGTCGGACTGGCCTCGTTGAGTGTGGTAGCCGGCTATACGCTCGCTGCCCGCCCCTCTGTCTCTTGAACTTCCTGTATATACAGACCTGAGATTCAACTTCACATTAGTTTCTTTTACTTGATTATTGGCAATGGGCGAATCCGTTGGAAATGCACAGTTGGTTTTTTATCTTAATTCAGAATTCTTTTTAAAAGGGACTGGCCGCAACGCATTCCATTCGTTTCTTTTTTTTTTCCGCTACCTACAAAGCTACCGCTTGCTAGCCCCAAGATGAATGTCAAACCCTCCGAAATGGAAACCGCATATCCCCACCGTGCTAGTTATCTTTTGTTCAGAATGATAAGTGTAAGAAGGGAGATTTTTATGAGTCGAGCTGTACGTAGTTGGCAGGGAAAAGACCCTTCTTGCCATTGTACTCGCCAGCCCACCAGTCTTCGTCGGGGAACTCCAGGTTCGTGATCTTGGCGTCTTCGGGGAAGCTGATTTCTGCAAGGCATGTTAGCGAGGTTTTGCGATTAGGTAGTTCTAGTTCTACTTACCGTTGTCTTCGGCGGCTTCATAATCGTACAGAGCGGTCGCCGTGGGGCCGGCGGCAGCCGGGCGCGAGGCTGCTGGAGGAGGTGGAGGAGGAGCAGTCTCCTCCTGGACGGCGGCGGCGGTAACAGCAGGAGCAGAACCACCAGATGGTTCCTCAGTGATCTCGACATAATTGCTGGGGAACAGACCTCGCTCGCCCTTGGAGTTGGTTCCTAGCCACCAGTCGTCATCAACCATATCGATATCGGTGACGGTCTGGCCTTCAATAAGCTCAATCTCATTCTCCTCAGCCTTTTCGTAGTCGTACTGGACAACTGCGCGGTATCCACCCTGGGAGCTCTGAGCAGCTGCAACCTGCTCAGGCTCAAACTCTTGTTCAGCAACAGCCGTGGCAGCACCTCGCGCAGCGCGTGTCTGCTCCTGCTCGTCAGGAAGCTCGTCCTCGTCGGGCACATCGATATCAGCTGCTGGGATAGGGGGTGGTGCTCGTGCCTCCGGTGGCTCAACAACTGGGCGAGAGGCCGAGACCGGAACAGCAATGCGTACGGGAGATGACTCTCTTTCAGGCTCATAGGCTGAAGGGTCTTCTTGCTCCTCCTCCTGTTCATCCGCCGGCGCAGGCCTGCCAGGAAGGCCAGGAAGAGCAAAGCCTCCTGAAGGTCGAGAGCTCTGGGGGAGAGGTGGTGGGGCATCATCATGGTCCTCTTCAGCAGCTCGGGGAATCTGAAGTACAGATCCAGCAGAGATGGGTGCCGTGCCCTTGAATCGATCCTTCAATGCCGCAACTCCGCCAGATGAAGCAGGTGTCTCTTCTTCGACGGACCTGTCCTGCTCGCCGGTGGTCTGTTGAGCAATAGATTCGTCGGGTCGGCCGAACTGGGATGAGGTGTGAACTGGAGCCCAGCTCTTTCCGGAATACCCGCTCTTCCATCCTCCTCCGCTGGTCTGAGGCTCAACAGGTGACGCGGTAGGAGGTGGCGAACTGACACTTCCCACATCCACCCCTCGCTCCTTGGCCTTCTTCTCAGCCCAGAGTTGGGCTGGCGTCTTTCCACCTTGGTCGGCAAAGGTACGGCTGGCGGCACCAACAGGCGCGGCGGAAGGAACTGACGGCCCGCCGAAGCCCAGACCTCCAGTCGGTGGCTTAGTCCCAGTGAAGCTGGAACTACCTACAAACTTGTTCGCAACCTTGGGCTTGGGAAGAGTTGTGAGTCGCTCGGAGGCCGGGGGTTGGCTAAAAGCAGCGGCCCTCTCGGAGAGAGGCTTAGACTCCTCGACCGGTTCCGGTTCTTCATTCGCAGGCTTCTGTGCCCGGGCCCGAATGGCAGCAATATCGACCTTGCCTACAGGCTCGTATGCGCCCTTGACAGGAGTAGGTCTGTCGTCGTTCTTCTCCTTGGCCTGCGCTCGGATAGCAGCGATATCAACCTTTCCAATGGGCTGGTAACCACCCCTGACCACATCAGAAGGAGCTTCGGGCTTGGGTGGCGCAGCAGAGAAACGGGAGGCTTCGGGCTTCTGCTTGGTGAGCTCCGCCATGTTGACCTTGGTGGGCTTGTAAGCGGAATCGACCTTTTCGATCTGAGATCTGGAAATGGGAGGAGCATCCGCGCCCCATCCATCTTCGTCCACGTTGCTATCTTTCTTCGTTCGGGCGGCGACGATAGGATCAACTCGGCCGGCGCTATAAGTGGTTGGAGTGAACACGGGCTTCGACTTTACGGGGGGACGGGGGGCCGGGGCGCCAATTGATGAGCCAGCAGAGTATTTGGCACCCGAGGCATTGGCGACCTTCTCCATCACGGCCTGGGGCTCCAAGTCGCTTTCGGAACGAGCGGTAATCTGCACATGGTATCCATGCAAGATCTTTGAGACTGCAGCAGTGTGGCTTGTGAAGTATCCCTTGGTGCGTTCAGGTACGCCGCCACCGCACCAGGCGATGAGGATATATTTGGGAAGGCCGGAGTTGGGGTCTTTCACCTTGACGAAGGCGTACTGGACACGGCCTTCGCTAAAGTCCTCGATTAAGTCAGATAATTCTCCATCTGGAACAAGGTCAACAAGCTGTATCCATGCGATTCAATTCCGAATTCCCTCACCTCCGGTGCCTTGCACTTTCAGAATGCTCTCCTTAGCTCCGCTGTCTTGGAAGGCGTTCTGCAATGGTGCCTGTACGGTGAAGAGAGCCCACTGGGCGTGGGTGGGAGAGTCGGTCGAGGGTGCCGGCCCGTTAATGACTCCATTGTAGCTGCTCTTAATGGACGGGCCGTTAATTGATAGGTTTAGCGACGCCATCTCGAAGGAAATATGCTGTTGTCTTGGAGAGGTAGGTTTGGTAGTGGAAGGGGGGAGGTCGGTGACGTTGCTGGAATTGGGGCGAGGAGGATCCACCAGTCAATCCAGTTGAAAAGAGGGGTACTCGAGGAGGTGAAGGAGGAGGAGAGAAGACACACAAGATGCCTTGGTCGCAGCACTTCTTCAGACGAATGCTAATTGCTCCGTGGAAGAAGTGTTTGCCGTCGTCTGGACAAGACAGGAGGAGGAGAGGATGTTGGGAGAGATTGGCTTGTGGAGCTGCAAGAACGGGCAGGGTACGCATACCATTGACGTACGACCAACACCACGTATTCGGGCAACGAGCTACCTACCGTACCTACAAAGTCCAGTAAGCAGCAGGCGAGCTACGCTACACTGCACAGCCCTGCTAGCTGCCTCCTGGGCAGGTAATAGGTGCCCAGGTATCCACCAGATTGGGCATTTGGGTTTGCGGAGTCTGGGCGACGGTTAAAGACATATTATGCAACTAGGATGCACTTTGCACGTAAGCCGAAGGAGGGCACCGGTGCCGAAATGACGCAAGGTCTCAAGCCCCGCCACTCACCCGCCGTCGCGCCTCGTCGGCTACGGATTGCGATATCGCCTGCCCCGCCAAATTCCGCAGTTATGATCTACTTCGCACCCACCAACTGCCTGACATATCCAGATCGCATGACTGGGTAGAAAAAAATCACCACCACTGCATCTCGACGTCTCGACACACCGAATCTTACGGGTCCTGGGCGCGAAAGGGGAAAAAATGTCGACAATTACAGAGGTGGATAGCATCCCCCAGTGGGAGCAGCTTCTTGCGTCGTTGCCTCCATCTACGCTTCTAGTGGTTTCTTTCCACGCTCCATGGGCGGCTCCATGTGCCCAAATGGCTACAGTCCTGGCGACGCTGGCGTCTGAATACCCAGTCACCGAGCCTCCCGCCACAAAGTGGGTTTCCGTCAATGCAGAGGACCTCAGCGACATCAGCGAAGCCTACGAAGTCACCGCCGTTCCATTCCTAGTCTTGATCCGGAACGGCCAAGTCCTCGAGACTGTCAGTGGCAGCAGCGCTGTCAAAGTTCGAACCGCAATCGAGACGCACGCCAGCAGTGCAAGTGCAGCACAGGCCGATACCGCTGGCGGAGTCGCTCAAACTGTCGCCAAAGCTGAAGAACCTGCGGCACCACTTGATCCCGAGAAACAAAAAGAAGAACTCTTCAAGCGCTTGGCTGATCTGGTCAAGGCTGCACCTGTTATGCTCTTCATGAAGGGTACCCCAAGTGGCCCGCAGTGCGGCTTCTCTCGTCAAATGGTCGCAATTCTGCGGGAGAACTCTGTCAAGTATGGATTCTTCAACATTCTCGCCGACGACGAGGTCAGGCAAGGGCTGAAGGAGTACGCTGAGTGGCCGACTTATCCTCAGCTTTGGATCAGTGGGGAGTTGGTCGGTGGGTTGGACATTGTAAGTGATATCGAGACGCAATCTGGGAAGCTGGCACTAGAAACAAAATGGCTAATTGTGAAATAGGTCAAAGAGGAGCTCAGTAACGATGCAGACTTTTTCAAGCCTTATAGTGTGAGCGGGGGTGAGGCAGCGGCCCCAGCTTGAGGGGCACACATGGAATGGGGCAAACCAAGGAACCCGGGCCGTTGGAAAAAGAGACGAGCTACGAATTATTATGCCAGAAATGAATTGCGACACCTTGTCCGCCGCCTTGTCGGCGACTTATCGATGCGAAGCACACTCCTGAAGCCTGGGAGTTCGGGGTGACTGGATAGAGGGAAACTGATGCCATACAAATGGCGGGGTCATTTCGCGGTCAGTCAGAAGTGAAGAAGGGATAGGAGGGGTGAGGGATGATGCATTGAGAATTGTGGCTTCCTGGAGGCCCGAACAAGACCGGACTGATGTCGAGTCAGTCGAGCTAGTTGGTGATTATAAACCAGCCTCGACCCGTGGCGACAAGTTTCCTTCATAGCTCGAATGATATTCAGTTCACCACTCTCATATATCAATGATTCATCATTCATGATGTGAGACACTCGGAGCCTGGGAAGAAGGAAAAGAAATGTAGATGGAAAAGAAGGGAGCCAGCCCCCAGACCTCGTTTCGCCAGCGACTACATAGCTGCCAACCGTCGGTTGCCATTCCTGGTAACTGCTCTGGACACTTTTAGAATGTAAGCTCAGGATCCCGGTGGATAACCAGCAAATTGGATGCTGACGAAACAAACTAGACACTAGTCCAACTCAGTCGCGGTCCCTGGTGATGTTGATGCTTACCCTTGTCTAGCTGTATGCAGGTAGGCCAGTGTGACCGAGAGTGTGAGTCATCGTAGAGAGACGTTTGCAAAGGTGGGTTGTTCGAGGTGTGGCAGTGAAGTGATGGGGTAGCATGATGTTAGCGGGGAGCATCCAACTGCTGATGTGGTTTTGCTGCTGCCTGGCGAGGCCCGGGACAACCCCGAGAGCCATTCTCGTCTAGGCCCTGCGCAAACGAGCGCCCGCAGGCCCGCAAGATCGGGATGGAGTATAGTCCGTATAAAGTGTGCAGGTTGCTGACAGGCGGTGGTGGTGCATGCTCGAAATGTCGGGGGAGGGCATCATGTTCCGCATAGCCTGATGATATCATCCACTCCGGCGTATGTCTGCACACAATGCGCCCTGCTCCCTGTAACACACCACTGGACGCTGACGACGAGCGCCTCAACGAGCCAGGTCCAAGGGGGCAGATTGATCAAGTACGTGTATAGTCGATGGAGGCGCGCAGCAAAAGCGATAAGATTCTTGTGCTACTGCTGCATTACCCATAACGGCTCCAAGTGGCGAAGTGTTTCTATTGGTGCATGTAAACTGTAAGCTACGTACCACCGTGGCGTCTCTCGCCTACCACCTGTCTAATAGAGGAGGAAAGTAGGGGGGAGTGTGTACCTGCCTCAATATCATGCCATGAAGCCATTAGCTCAGCACGGGTTTAAAGTTTTGGTAGCTTCACAAGTATCCTGAGGAGTAACATGGGAGATGGATTTCTATCCGGGCGTGCGATCAAGCTAACGGATGACTGCTGGCCAATTCCAACTGGACGAAAGACAGCAAACCCCCACCAATACGATCTGCCGCTTCCTGCGTACTTAGCAAGGTGTAGGAGTCGGCCGCGGCCGGTAGTTGGGTGATATCATCATGGGTACCTAGTGTGGTACCGCCAGAAGTCAAGCCATCCCAAGCCCATCCCCATTCCTTTCCGCCATATGCAGATCCGTCTCAAGCTTCGGCGTGCCTCAATGGAGCGACTACCGTAGTGTGCAGTAAGCCAGGTGCAGCAGGCCTTTCCCCAAGGGTCGTTTCCGTGTGGTTTGTCCACCCGCCGGTGGGAGGGATTGAGATGGCTGCGGATTATATAATTCCACCAGCATCCAACCACACCGTCCATCGTCGTCGGACCTGTTTCACTCCCTTCTTTCCTCGCTGGCTCTGCCTCAGTCGATAGCGACAGCAACTGCAGGTGGCAGCTTACTAAAACAAATCAGTTCTCGTGCCTTCCTCCACCTGGCCCCGATAGTTTGAATTAATTAAACCCGGATTGACGCCGTCATTGGATATTCCGCCGTCTCCAACTTTCCCAAGCATCACCTCTTCGTGTTAAATCCGTCCTGTCTCGCTCGTCCTCGTCTGCTGCCGCCGTGGATAGGTGCGCTATCCAGCAAACCCGACGCTGCATTTCTCGACTCGACTCCACCGCCGATCCTTAGCGTGGGATCGCTTCCTCAGAGGAGGCCCGATATATGATTTAATTGGGGTTATTGGGTACACTTCACCAACGTTTCTACTAAAATCTTATTCTCATATCATTCCCAGCTCGTGGCTTGACTCCCGCCATCCAGTCGCTTGAGGCGCTTTCGTCCTGCTGAGCCCCCGTCTCGCTCTCTCGATCGGAACAGTCCTCTTTCTCTCCGAGAACAAAGACAGCCGCCTGTCTGTCTTGCTGACTGACTGGCCCGCCGAGTGATTCATCACTTCCTTCTTCCTAGGTAAGAAGTTCGTGGGTGTCAAGTGAGCGGATCCATCCTTCCAGTGACCATGACTCCCACTCCGCCGTCGACAAATTCTTCTACGGGTGGCCGCTCACCCGAAGAGCAGTACCGGGTTGTGCGCAAGAGAAACAGAATTCCTCTGAGCTGTTATCCTTGTAGGACCAGAAAGTATGTGGTGACCCCACGATTGTGTAAATTTCCCCATTGCTAATCTTCTCTTCCTCAATGTAGATTGTAAGCAATGCCATACCAAACAAACAGGTAGATAAAATCGATCCTTTACTAACCCACAGCTAGAAAATGCGACCGGAGCCACCCATGCAGCAATTGCGTGAAGCGCGAGGGCGCAGGAGCTGCGTCTTGCTCATACGCCACGCCCGTAAGCCGCAAGAAAAATCCGGATCAGGGAGCGGCGAGCCCCGATGACATGCAAAACAGAATCAATCGACTTGAAGGTTTGGTTCTCTCATTAATGCACAATGGAGGTAATACGGATGGCGCGGCGGCTACCGCGATGGATGTTGAACGGTCTGGCTCTCAATCTCAGACGGATGGTACATCGTCTGCCAGAAACGCTCGAGAGGAGGACCCCGCTCTGATTGATGAGGACAGCGATGTCGATGAAGGCCTAGCTACATCACTAGGAGTTTTGAAGGTCGACATGGACAATGGGAAATCCATGTACATTGGCCAAGAACATTGGCATACCCTTCTTTCCGACATTGCAGAAGTCAAGAACTACTTCGCCAGTCACAAAAAGGAACTCGAGACAGGCTACGAACGTGTACGGAATTCCAAGCCCATGGCCGCTCGCGAAGGCCCTACCCTCCTGCTTGGCGCTCCACAAGCCTCCGAGGTCGAACTGAGGGCCGAGCTGCCTCCCAAGTCGAGCGTTCTGACGCTATGTAGTCGCTACTTCAATTCCATGGATAACGCTGTCAACATAATCCATGGCCCGACATTCCAGCAACAGCTTCGTGCATACTGGCAGGATCCATCAAAGACATCCATCATGTGGTTGGGCCTGCTGTACTCCGTCCTCACGCTCGCTATGCTCAGTTATCACAAAGTGGGCGATGAGCCTCCAGAGTGGAAAGGACGAACCCTGGAAATGGCTTCCGACTTTCGCATGCGAACTGTACAATGCCTCATCAAGGCAGATTACACCAAGCCCGTTGACCATACCATCGAAACGATGATTCTTTACGCATTCGGAGAGTATTCGTCGCGCTGGGATGCAGATCTTGGGTTGTGGATGATCGTATCCCTCATCACGAGGCTGGCCTACCGCATGGGCTACCACCGGGACGCGAAATGGTTTCCGTCCATTACGCCATTCCAAGCCGTAAGTGCCAGCAATCTCTCACAACACTTTAAATTATAGAATTAGACAGAGTTCTAACAGTAGCCCTTACAGGAGATGAGACGAAGAACATGGGCATTGGTGAGGATGTCTGATGTGATCTTTTCACATCAAGTATCGTTACCGAGCATGATCTATGAGCACGACTGCGACACGCAACTGCCCAACAACCTATTTGATGAGGACTTTCATCTGGACACAAAGGAGCTTCCTGCATCAAGGCCGGCGACGCAACCAACACCAGTGTCATACATGATAGCCAAAGCCAGGTTGTGCAATGAACTTGGCAACATTCTCCAAGCAACGAATGGAATCGGCAAACATGTATCATACGATGAGATTCTCCGGTTTGACGCCAAGTTGAGGCAGATAATGCAAGATCTCCCGCCACACCTGAGGTTAAAATCACTCGAGGATACGCACGATCCCGTTACATTAATTATTGCCAGGTTCAACGTGGAAATTCTGTCCCAAAAGATCTTTTGTCTACTTCATCGAAAGTACCTCCCACGTGCGAGGCAAAACACAAGATATGCACACTCTAGGAGATGCGCGATCGAGGCTTCGTTACGAGCATTAGATCATCTGGCGACCCTCAATCGTGAGTCCCAACCCAACGGGCGGCTGCGGTCCGTTGGGTGGTATATCAAGTCCATTGCAACCAAAGATTTCATCCTCCCCGCCATGTTGATCATCCTCGACCTGCACTATGACAATATGGCTTCGCAAAACAGAGCAGCCGAGACCGAGGGCAATTTTCTCTGGACTGCAGAACAGAGACAGCGAATGATCTCGGCTTTGGAAGAGGCTGCAAGCATATGGAAATGCCTTGCGGAAACCTCCATGGAGGCCTACAAGGCAACCAAAATTGTCGAAATCATGCTCCAAAAAATAAATCGTCCTTCGGAGAGCGGTAACCGGGGCCCTACGGATTCTCAACCTAGTATTCCCTCAGCTAGTCCGTTTGGAGGCGACCCATCTATGGCCAGTCTTTCTCAAGCGTTCGCATCCCCCATGGCAGGGGCAGGGATGGCTGATCCGGGAATGGGTGTGAAGCCTTTCGACGAAAGCGCCAATCTGTTCAATATGGATTGGGGACTATCGCCCTCAGCTGTAATGAACCTCAACACGGGAACCGCCGCCCTTGGACCTGGCTCCCCTCTGTCTATGTTTCCTAATGGGAGCGGCAGCATGGCGCCTGAGTTGACCGGCGATTTCGACTGGGTAAGCCTTCTCAATAACATCACTCTTCTCAATACCACAACATGAAGTCTTGTAACTAACTAATGACTGCAGGGGGCGTTTGAGAACTATGCACAGACGGCAAACTGGGGGGTTGATGCGAGCTTTCAGATATACGGGACCGGTACTAGCGATTCATCGCCGGAACAGCAGTCGATGAATCCTCCTCAATAAACGTGCAACAATGTATAGTTAGGATCAGCCCACCTTGGAATGAGAAGAAACATTTGGGTTTGGGAAAAAAAAGACAATGTGAGACAAGATGTTGTATGTAAGAGGCTGAAAATCTCAACTAATTAAAATCCATTAAATCAATGTGCAACATGTATAACAATGCTGGATGAGTTATGTAGCTGGACGATTATGTACGATGAATTACCAAAGTTCCAATATCTGTATCATTATTCTCTATATTTCCAAGAATAATAGTAGAAACATAAAATGCGTACATTTGAAGTGACGTGGAGGGCAAAGTCGAGTGGTGTACAGGCAAGAGGGGGACTCTGTGGTTTTTACAATACCCTTCCTCCCTCCCATAATAGTGAGGATCGCTTGGATCGCATGACGGATCCATAACCAGCCTAACATGATTGTACAAGTCTGACAAAACATCAGACGTCACAAGAGCAGAAACAAATCCCCGAGGCGCCCGTCACAAATCTACCTCCGGTTCTCATACTCCCCCCATCTTCCCCATGACGCCCTTCCAACCCGGTTTCAATACAATGAGGAAATTCGTTTGCTTCCGCAGCCCCGCCCTTTTTTCTATATGGTGAGTCCCATAGGGCGGGGTGCTCTTTTGCGGTGGTGGCTGTTATGGCTTGAGAGAGAAATTTCTATACGACGTCGCCAATGATCTTGGCGGCCTCTCTGTACGTCGAAAGCAGTTTTTCGCACTTCTCGCGCTCCTTCTTCACGGCGTCGTCCTCGTACAGGAGCTCCTCGAAGAGAGTCTCCTTGTAGAGCTCTGTGACAAGTCTGTTTTGCACGACATCCTTGCAGTGGTTGACCAGGAGGTGCATGACAGCCTTTGGAACCTGGTCGGCGATGGACTCGCGGACAATGTTGAAATATGAGGAGATTAGAGCACGGATCAGCTCTGTCTCCATTGCCTCACGGTCAGTCATCGCTGGTTCGTTAGATTCGCCCTGCAGTCATGTTAGTCGTTGTAATAAAGAGAAGGGAGGTAGAAGCAAATGGGAACTGACGAAGTGAGCAGCAAGCCCCTTGGCAGGGACATCATCATCTCCTAGTTTCGGGCTGGATGGGATGTTGTTTTCTTCTCTTTCTCTCCGGATGGACATGGGTTCCACATGTGCGATCTGTCGATGTGGGAGGGGTGTCGAGGCAGCAGTCGCTTGAATGCCATCTTTACCAAAGAAATAGTTCAGGAATGAATCTCGAGCATTTCCGAGGCCCTGCTGGTGGAATCTGGAGGGTGATGCGGAACGGGCATCGGCATCCCTCAGCGCGGCACTCAGCCTAGTCGCGCCGTTCGCGAGCACGGGTGGCGAGAGGCTTCGGGGTGGCTTCGACAGGGAGATGGATTTGCGAGAATTGCCCACGGGCTTCTCTGAACCCGCGTTCTCCTCATCGTCTTCCACGCCGTCTGTGCCGTTTGCTCCGATTTCCTTCAATCTCCGCTTCTCTCGGCGCTCCCGCTCTTCTTGAATTAATCTCTTGCGCTCTTTCTCTTGCTTGGCGCTCACTACATTACTCATGGCAGCTGCTGCACCGAGGAAGTTGGGGTGGTTGGTGTTAATATATGCACGCTGAATGGATATAAGGGATTCAACGTATTGAGACGTGGGTCCCAATCTCTCCCGGAGAAGATCTGATACAGTCTCGATAAGCTTAGCCTGGAGACGGGGGAAGCGGGAGAGCTCTGTAGATCCGCACGTGTGGCAGATCTTGATCAGCTCCTCGTAAACTAGCTCAACGCAGCGCTGGCTAGGAATCTCAAGGAGTTTGATCTGGGGCTTCACGAGGAGATCGAAAGCCATTTCGGGGACGAAGAGACTGGGGCGAGGTCCAGTGGAGTTACGGATTGCAGTCCTAATATCAAGTGCGGAGAGGTTGGATGTGGGATCAACCGACTCAAGAGAGCTTCCAAAGACGGAGTTGAAGATGTAATAAATACGAGCACCACCACAAAGCTCTTTTGTCGATATCTCCGACGAGGTACCATCAATAGACGAAATGAAAGAAGTTGCGAAACGAGTCATGAGCTGAAGAATTAGAGACCCGCGGTGCTCCTTGCCGCTGAAATGCATATCACCGTAGCTGGCGAGCTCTTGCTGAGTCTGGCCCATGAGAGTATTGAGGCGAGCTTTAATATCTGGAAGTCGTTCTCGAATATGGGTCATGAGCGTCGAGTTAAGAGTCTTGGCTAAATAATGGGTGCCGCATCTATTGGCAATGTTTCGGTAGGCAGGGTGGTGCTTGAAGAACTCGGCTTCAGCCTTGAGAGCCTCAGTCATGGGCTTGTTGCCCTGAATATCCTGCTGGGAGCGGTTCACAACACCAATGAAGCCAAGCTTGAGGGGGTAAACGCGGCCAGAGAGAATGTCGAGCGCATTGGTACCATGGTCCATAAGATCAACCTTGGTCAAAACACCAATTGTGCGTCTACCGAGGGCATCGACATGGCGGGCAAGTTTGAGAGCTTCGGAGTTGACGAGATCGACGTTGGCTGGGGAGACAGCGAGGATAATACTGTTCGGCTTGGCGATGTATTCGGAAATCAGGTTGCGTGTCTGCTTCTCGATATCGCTGGGTTGATCACCAATGGGGACCTATAGTACAAAGTCAGGTCAGCAAGATCTCGATCTCCCTGCAGCATTCAACAAGGCGGCGCAAACCTTGGTCAAACCAGGCAGATCGACGAGGGTCAAGTTCAGGACATGTGGCGAGTAAATCTTGAGGTTGATAGGCTGGCGGTTGATTCCCTTGTTGTTACCAGCGACCCTGGATGTCTCGTTCTCGATTTCACGCTTGACGTCGGAGAAATCAGTGAACCTCCTGTTGGGAATATGGTGAAACTCGGCCCATTCAGAACGGCGGGCTGCGCCGGGTGAGTGGTAAGGATCGGCCAAGGGATCGGGCGCATTCTCATCGTCATGAACATTGACAAGTTGTAGAATCAATGGACGCCGTGTGCAGATACCGCTGCCTCGTGGTAAGAAGTCTCGGCCGACGATGTTTTCTAGGACGGAAGATTTGCCAGCAGATTGGGAGCCAACGACGACCTAGAATACGAGAGAAAACTATTAGCAAGGAAGAATAGGAAATTGAATATGATGTGCAGGGATGAGAGCTTGAGAATAGCTGGATGGCCACATACAATCTGGGGGAGATCGAGGGAGTCATTGCCAATGGTGTTGAAGACCAAGTCTTGCAACTTGTTGACGGTGATGAGCAGATCCTCACCGAGAGCTGCCATGGTGGTGGATGAAAACCCGAGGACGCCTCAAAGAGCAGGAACACGACAAGCAAGTCACCAGGAAGGGCCGGAAAGGACGACGGCGTCTATCGAGGTTGTGCAGCGCGTCGCCAGCTAGCAATGAGGAGGCAGGCGATGGCAATGGGAATGATGTATGAGGCGGCTGGTATCTTGAAGTGATCTTTTTCTATGGATCGGGTGGTTCACGTGTGTACGGGAGTACATCCGGCAAACAGGCCTGTACAGCACTAGCGGTGGCAGCTGCAGTGGCCGTTCCAGCACCAACCCGAGCGTCATGGACTTCGGGGCCACGACGGACAGGAGGGAAAGCACCGTATTGCAGTGGGTCCGTCCCAGTTGGGGTTGGGGTCAGGACGGTTGCTGACCATTTGCTGCTAACGGCCACCGTCAATGCCTCTCTCTCACCACGGAAGATTGCTCTTCTCATGCCACCAGGGGGGAGACCGGGTGAAACGAGTAAACCCCGGCACAAATGGATGAAGTGTTCAGGCGCATAAATGCTAAGTGGTTGACAGGATCGTGCCTAATTTACGGTCTGTTGCGGCCTGACGTTCGGGCTGGGTAGCATTGATTCCATGCCATCTGAGTACGTACGGTGATCTGAAGCTCAGAACCAAGAGAGCCTCGTTGTCAGGCTTGGGGCATAGTTTTCTTGAGATGTAGAATATTCGTTGACCAGTAGGCTAATTTTCGAACAGAAGCCAAGCCATGGAGATCTTTGATGTTTATCGTACGAGAGTTGGTTGTTTTGCACGGGCTGGGCATCAGATGTGGTATCATACAATCCTACCTTAGGTAGATAGATCAACTCACCGTGCCAAACCGAGAATAGCATCATTGACCGGATAGAGAGACGGCATGAATGGGAGAAAAAATCCCAGAAAAGGCATCTTTTCCAAAGCCAGGCGCCAAATAGTGTCGTCCAACTGCCAGGGCCCTGGCTGCCAGGTGACCCAGAAAGGCGGGATAGAAATATGCAAGCTGCCGGGGCTTACCGCTCTATCAGAGCAAACCACTACTGCTCACCTACTACAGAAATGGCCATATCTTCAGCAAGAGCCTGAAACGCACCCGGATCCCAAAGCCAAGTCCGACGAATCATTGCACATCAATCGGGGTGTGTTTTGCATGTGGTCATGAGCTCTTTCGGTTCTCCCGGACTGCGTCCGCCAACAAAGCCCAACCCGTAAGTGCATGCAGAGATGACGTGCCTAGACATTGACGCTCTCAAGTGGTCACATCAGCTAACATCCGGCTGATCGCTTTAGACCGCAACGAGGAAGTTTCCCTCTCGACCATGATGGTACACCTTTCATATACACAATTTGATGCTTTTTCAAGCAAATGAGCTGACATATAACACAATTAAGGTGAATGTCGTGATATCATGAAAGATTACTTGGCCTGTATCAAAAAAGTGCGCGGTGTCAACGAGGATGAATGCCGTGGCCTGGCCAAGTCATATCTTTCGTGCAGAATGGATCGGTAGGTAGAGAATGAGTCAATTGCCTAGGGCTTTCACTGCGGAATACATGTAATGACACTTTGCTAACGCAGGGCTTAGAAACTTGATGGCAAAGGACGAATTCAAAAATTTGGGCTTCCAGGATGCGCCCAAGGCCAATGGCAGCCAACAGAAGCTGGCAAAAGCCGATCAGGCCGGCGATAGTCGAACTGGCTCCAGCTGAAATAAGCCGCCCTGATGTGTATATGCGAATATTCACAAATCAGGAATAGCCACACGCGGACTATGACTCCATGGCTTGGTCTTGTTAAAGCGGTCTATGAGCACGCACGATGAGCTGTACAAACTATTCTGCTCAGATAAAGTGTCCGTAGGAGGTGCAGGGATTGGGTCAAGCATGTGACCAGTGTATTATTTTTCCAGCCTTGATCTTTTGCCAAGGCTGTGTGTCTATATCACCTTTTTCATGTATTAATACAGGTACGCGCTAGAGAATCAATCATCAACGCGAGACTGCTGAATCCCTTCACGCCGATGGGCGAGGTAGTATTGTTGTTTGTTGCCCGACTCCAGGGTATGACGTGAAATGGTGAACGATCAAATTAGGCGGTAGGGGTTGGAGCTGGAAATACAGGGAATGTGCGCCTGCTGGCCTGACTGGTATGAGGAGATGCCTGCGCTAGAGCAGGGAAGTCGGGGGCTCTAGCAGCCTGACACGGGTACTGCTACCTGCTGAAGAAGCATCGAGTCGCTGGACCAGGAGCGTTGCAAGCGGCAGCCAAGTACCGCTACGGCGGGTTGATGCATGCACTCAATTGTGGGTTGCCAGGCCAACTCCCGCATTGGGAGCTGCTGCCCGTTTACAAAACCGCTCCCGTCGCCGCCACCCAGTTGTTGTCCAACCACTTGCTGCTTCCTGTTCATCAATTTGCTTCCATACTTATAAAAAGACATCTCTCTCCCCCTTTGGTTCATGTGTACAGTGTAATTATTCTTATTCCATTTTCCCTTTCGCCTGGCTGTGCATATCGTACTCTTTTCTGTGGGAACCATGTCAACCATCAAGGGCAGACCAAGCGACCCTCCGAAATCGCGGAAGGTGACGCCTCCGTCCCCGTCATATATGTCAAGTGATCAGTTTGGTATGTGTTGTGATTTGAGATATCGCAGCCACTCTCCAAGCCTCTGACCTTTCTAATTCCATCAAGCCAAGTATCTCGCCGACCTTCGAACGAACCGAGTAGCACGCCCAGGCGGGGCACGGCCTCAACCTGCAGGAGCTCGTCCAGCTCCCAGTCGAATGAGCACTGGCCGCGCAAGCACTGGGCGCGAGAGCTTTGCCGAATCTTCTCATGCGGAAACCCAATCTGTCCCTCCTGAGACCCGAGCTGAAAGCCCAAGTGTCGCTGCTGGCAGCATCTCTTCGCGCTACTCCTCCCCAGCTATTCGCAACCGAGATTCTTACTCGTCCAAGTCGACCGTTCAGCCGTTGAAGCCCTCCGAGGTTGTTCCAACCGCCACGTATATCGAGCGGGGCCAACGATGGATGGAGAAAGAAGAGGCATCTTCTTTGCGTGATGCAATGCAAGACATGGATCTCAAAAAGAGCTCGAAGAGAAACTCGGTCAAGAGTGCAGAAGAGTCGCCTGATGAGGAGTCTCGAATATACAATGCTGCTCTGGACGAAGCCGCCGAGCTTGTTTGGCAGCATCAGCATCCCAGCGCAGCTCCAGAACCTCATGCTCCCTACCGATATCGATCTCATCTCAAAAAGAATAGCTATGCGTTTGCGCGTACTGCGAGCGTTGGGGGACATCATGAAGATGCCGAAAAGCCAGTATCAGGCTCTCGATCAGTATCAGATAGCTCCACCGGAAGCGAGGGCTACTCTCGAGCTTCGGTAGACGCCCGTCAGCCAAAAGAACAATCCCGTCAGAAATCCAAACCATATGGTTCAATGGGGGCCAGCTCCAGCTCGAAGCCAGACCACCGGCGTCGCAGCAGTATGAAGCGAAACATCAGTGGCGAGGTCCAGCGTCCGTTCTCGGGCGATCAGATCTGGGAAGAGCCTGAACCGCCTTCAAAAACAGGCACACCTCGACCAGGCGCGGCGACTGCAGATGCACTGGCTAGCAGACCACACAATCCGCTGAGCCGTTCCCAGCCTCCGTCTGATACGAGTCCTGTCAAACCTCTGAACCGGGTTGAGATCTACCGCAACCCGCCCACGCAGTCTCGCAACGCTCAGTATACCACCAATGCTGAATTGCCCAGAACTTCGACGGATGATCAAGTGGAGAGGAAGAATGGCGTGGAGGTTCGCAACCAGGACATTCGCAATGCCACAAGCATGAAGATAAAGGACCGCAGCCCCAAGCTCCCAGAGCCAACCGCCGTCAGCGACAACCCCGGGCGGCCAATTGTAAGCTTTGACGCGCACTGGAAAGCTCCCGACGAGTCCACTGATGCCAACTCAGGCCACACAGAAGCAGCGCCGCGAAGCGGGCTCCAGTCCAAGCCCACGTTCCAGCCCCCGGCTGTGGACATCCCTATTATTGCTGTGGAAGAAAGCGGCCCGTCGCCATCACGTCCGCAGCGCCCTACGACCATTCCGTCATTCAGTATAGGAGCTGATGACGGATCAACTTCACGCCCGTTACCCCCTACGACCATTCCATCCATCACCATCGGTGCAGATGATGGATCGGCTTCACGCCCTCGGCCCCCTACGACCATCCCTTCTATCAGCATTGGAGAACATGATGGGTCATCTTCACGCCCCGTGCCTTCGATTAATGTCCCTGATATCGCCATCGACGAGCCGACCGATTGTCCCAACGTCCCTGTGATTTCCACACCTGATAGTCGCCCGGCGGCAGCTCCAAGGAGCCTCCCCGACCCCAAGTTGTATGGTCAGCGCCGCCCACGTGCTCCCGTTCCGGCGGGACGTGGCCACTGGTCGCCTGCCCCAGGAGCGGCGGCCCGACAGTCTGCCAAGTGTCACGAATGTTTCCATCCAATCGAAGGAAGGTTTGTGGCTCTTGCTGGATCGTCAGACAGGTTTCACCCACAATGTCTGCGATGTTTCACCTGTGGCATGGGGCTAGAGGCAATGGAGATTAGTCCTGAGCCGGACCACATGCGGGCGGAGCGTGTTGATCGGATCCGTCGTCGTGCAGCTGGTGAGATCCTGGACGAGACTCCAGGTATGACCATGGCTGAGGACGGAGACGATAGGCTCCGGTTTTTCTGCCACCTTGACTGGCATGAGCTGTATGCGCCAAGGTGCAAGCATTGCAAGACTTCTATTCTTGGCGAGCATATCGTGGCGCTGGGAGAACACTGGCACTACGGTCATTTCTTCTGTGCCGAGTGTGGTGATCCCTTCGAACATGGAATGACACATATCGAGAAAGATGGTTATGCATGGTGTATCAAGTGCCAGACCAAGCGTACTGAGCGCCGTGCCCCCAAGTGCAAGAAATGCCGTACTGCTGTGATTGGGCAGTACATTCAGGCCTTGGGTGGCGAATGGCATGAGCACTGCTTCCGCTGTGCTGAATGCCAGGGCGGGTTTGACGATGGTCAGATCTTCCCAAAGGAGATCCCCGGTGGAATGGAGGTACTCTGCACTGGTTGCAGAGCCAGGGAGCTTAAACGATAATTAGCATTAGAACGACGTGCATGATTTCGGTTGGTTTGCGACGGTGTTTGTTTTGCATGGCTTGGGATTTGATTTCTGTAGATTGCGACTCTTCGATTGGAGGATTGATCCGGACTGTAATAATACAAGATTGTGTTTGCGCATCAGTCTACTGAGGGAACTCTCCTGGCCACACCTCCACATTCTCTGAGAGGGTTATGATCCCAGTACCCCTCATTAGAGACTAGTCGTGCGATGTTCGTGAACTGACTTTCTATTCTCGTATAATATTCACCATGTAGTTTTCCATCTACGGTGACGTTCATTCAAATCCCTTAACTCCAAGATTGCTGATTTTGCTTGACCAAGGAGCGCCCAGAGGAAGATGCGGACCAGAAACATTCATGAAACCATTCATCATCCACCCTCCAGAGATGACCTGTTTGGGAATCTCCAAAAAAAGAGATGGTAACCATAACAGTTCATCGTGCGCGTGTCATACCCAAATTCCTAAAACCATGTGTCGTCGCGACCCACCCCAACAGATTTCTGGCAGACACCGCTAGAAACTGTCTATTACCATCCGCCGACCTGTTCCTGATGGACGTCTAGTTGATCGCCATCCGCCATCTCCAACTGTGAATAGCCTTTTGTTAGTTGAATTCTCAGACGTAAAGTAGAGATAGAGTTGGGAAGGAGGAGGAGGGGAGAAGAAGAAAGTCAAAGTTAACGTACGGCTTCCGGTGTATCGGAGGGCTGCACGCGGGTGCCCTCAAACAGGAACCGGACGGAGCTGATGGACTTCCCCTGCCTCTCGCAGAACGCGGTCATGAGCTTCTCGAGCTTGGTGGTGCGCTTGATCTTGAAGAAGATCTCGTTGTTGTTGTCGCTGACTTTGATATTCAGGTGCTCGGCGCCTGGGGCGGCCTCGGGCGGTGGCACTGGGGTGCCGTTCTCGTGCTCAGCGGACATGTTGAAGAAGGTTGGTTTGAGTTAAGTTTAGGTGCCAGGCTGTCACAGAGAGGTCAGATGGAAACGCTGAGACTGGACTGAAGAAAGTCTGAGAGGGCGGGAGATGGAAGGAAGTGATGCGATTTAACTTACAGGTATGCGGCGGGTCTCGTGAAAGCGGTCGCTGGGCTTTTGAGGCGGACTGAGAGCCTTGCGATGTGGTTGAAAGGGAGAGGGAGGAGAGGGTGAGGTGGCGACTGTTGAGAAGGGACGGGTGCAAAAGGCAGGTCTATCCGCGCAGAGGTGAGGTTGGAAGGGTGAGCAGAAAGTCTGAAATGGCTGGATGCCAACGATGGCTTGACGCGGGTGCTTGGGCGGGTGCTTGGAGGGCCACTGTTGGCCTGCTGGAGGGAGGTGGGGAGCGCTGCAGGCGATTGGCCAGGCTAGAAGAGCGGTACCCACAGCACCAGGCTCCAGGCGCATTTTTCTCCAGCTGGTTCGCGGTCAACGGCGAGTTAGTCATCAAGCATTGCGTCTCCAGAGCCATGGTTTTGGGTCGTAGGTAGCAGGTGGGATTGAAGTTGCATTACTGATCACGATTACGACATCTACACAGCCCGTGTCCTCGAATTTACAATGGTTCAGTAGTACCCTTGTGCACGGCTCGATTCTAGCTATCAATGATCATCTGGGCGGCTGACAATGGTGCACAGGCACTCAATGACGATGTGGAAGCAAGTCCACCTTGCCATCCTCGAGCTGTGAGTGCAGATTCCCCTTCCCTTGTCTCTGCTGGCGTTCGGCTCATCATCCTTTCGTAGTGTGCAATTCAGGGTAGGCCACTGCCACAAAAGGACTGAAAGCGCCTTCTTGCTAAACCACTACAGCTTGCTTAACAAAGAATGGATACAAGGAGGAGAGGTGCCAATCGGTTATCAAAGCCCTCTACGAATGCTGTGAAGTATTCTACGACCGCTACGGGGACGACGCGACCTCACCTAGTTGCCCCAAACCAAAACTTCTCCGGCTCAAGCTGGAGCAGCTGAAGGACCGGTAATGCTCGGGGTAGCAGGAGCTCCATGTACGAGGTAGATAAGAGCAGGTGCTGTACGATCCTAAATAGAAACCCGCGTGCTGCTGATGCCTTTGTACGTGTGAAATCTGTGGCGCCCGTCGGTTATGTCCACCAGGATAAGTCTCAGGTAACGTTATGAGATGAGCGCCGAATTTCTTCTTGGCTATCGTTGAGCGCGCGAGAGATCCGCGTGGGACCTGAACAAGTATTGAAAGTATCTTGTTCCGAGACTCTAATACGAATGCCGTGACATTTGTGTAGAGAAGAAGAAAAAGAAAGACCAAGTTTGCAGTTTCGGTGGGTCAATTTGAAGGTGCTCGCAGGGGCTCGGTTTGATGCATAGCCCAGTCCTGCTCTGCCGTATCGCTATAAACGGGCTCCAGTGCTTGGCGCGTCGTCGTGAGCCCAGCGCAGGTCGTGTTAGGTGTGGCACCCTGGTAACAAAATCCCAACCGCTAATTCATTGGCGATCTAATAAACAGACCCGAAGAGTGTGAAGGTCAAACTGTACCACAACAACGGCCCTCAGCGACGACCTTGGCCAACATTTTGTTTTGTCATGAGGTAGCGCACGGAAGAGGCGCATTGTCCACATTGCATCTATCTGCGAACTCTTCTACCTATTTAGCATTGCCTAGCTCCAGCCTTTGTCCTTTTTTCGAAACAAGGCGAACCGCCCCCGTCGAAGCATCAGAACAGCTTGTCGAGCTGCCTTGAACAGTCGCAAAGATAGACCGACATCATCGGGCGGCATTTTAATCGAAGGAATATCAACCTGATACCCATGGCCAACATGGATCTTGACATCCCGTTGGCGCCTCCAGTTGAGAAGCTGGAGGACGAGGAAGAGGGAGTGGCCCAAATCGAGCTCGGCATCGAGTTTGAACAGTTTGCAAACTCCCTCGACGACTGTCTTTCGCCTCATCTTTCAGAAACCGAGAGGCGAGATAAACTATTGGACATCCCGCGAAAATATTACGAAAATGCGACGAAACGATTAGAACAACTCGAGAAAACCAAGCTTCGCCGGCCCAACGACGATGTTGATATGGACACGGACGACCTTGGAGTCCAGGGGTTATCGTTAGACGAAGAGAAAGAGATTGCGCAGCTGGAGCGGGAGGTTCAGACCTGGGATCTACTGCGACGGGTTTTGCCTCTGCGACACCCCTCCTCCGAAAGCAAGGAGCAACTCTCGCGCTTCCAGAAGCTAGGAGATCGACCCAGCAAGAATCTTTCTCTAGATCATTTCTTCCAGGTTGACCCGGTCGCTGCAGAACGCCGAGCTGTCTTGCAGTGGCTTCAAAACAATGCTGCTTCAGGCCCTGATATCGATGAGCTATCAAGAGAACTGCAACAAAACGCCGACCGTGGGGACATAATCTCCCACGGCTGGCTGCATACTCGGTCCGCGATCAAAATGAAGAAGAGCCTTACGGGCTGGCCTCATCTTCTCGATCGTCAGTCCGCCGACATCAACAAGTCACACATCACAAGTACTGGCGCGCCTCTTGTGACTCAACTGGACCCGGATGCTCCATCAAGACAAGGCCGCAAGCTGCAACCACAAGACGAATACTTCGAACGCGCGATATGGTTGGGCTGTTTCGAGCACCTTCGTCGGGGTAGCAGCCTGGATAAGATCCGAGAGTGGTGCCAGGAGAGGACGGAGCTGTGGAGGGCTGTTTCCACGTCGGCTCTACTTCTACCGACAGACCAAGATACTGTGGAGGCGGAGGCAGATCCGCTTTCTTTGGCTTTGTGGCGCCGGATGTGCTACAGCCTTGCTCGCCAAGGTGGATCTGACGATTATGAGCGTGCTGTTTATGGTCTTCTTTCCGGAGATATCTCAAGTGTTGAAAAGGTAGCAACGAAGTGGGATGATTACCTGTTTGCCCATTACAATGCTCTTCTTCGAACCCAGATCGACACGTTCCTATTGTCGCAATGCGATAGCGGTGCGGTATCGAGCTTAACTACCACCTTCCCATCATTCGACGCCATTCAATTCCATGGCGACGCTGAGGGTGTTGCGCGGCGTCTGGTTCGCTCCATAGAGACTCAGAGCCCGACTCTGAGATATGAAGCTTTTGAACCTAATAAAGCCCTCCAGGCATCTATTGTTGCCAAAGATGTCGATGAGTACCTCTTCCAGCAAGGAGAGTCTTTAGGCATAACCCCTGAGTATGATAACCCCTCGGCTGTTGTGCGCATTGCACGAAGTCAACCCCAACGTCAGGCCGCCAAGTTTTTCGGTCTGAACGATTTTGATGGGCTTCGGATTGTCGGGCATGTATATGTCCTTGTTACACTGCTGGATAGACTTGACAGGCAGATCGAGGGCGCCCTCAGTAAGCCCGTGAACCAAGAACGGCGGTTCGCCCAAGAGTCTATTATCGCGTTATACACAGACCTGCTCAGGCGGGCCAAGCTTCATGAGTTGATTCCTCTTTACTGCTCCATCCTGGATCAACCTCGGAGCTACAGGGTCTTGAGCCAGAATTTAATCCATATCCGGGACTACGAGCAACGCCTCACTCAGCTCAAGTTGATAAAAAAGGCCACCATCGATGTCATTGAGTTCGTCACTTCGCAAGCAAACACGCGCTACCAGACTCTCATGGCGATCAACGCACATACATTCGAAGCGAAAGATAACTTCAAAATTTTGGCCGAAGATTCGCCAAGTGCTCGCCTCGGACGTGGCGTCAAGGCAGATTTCTTTGGTGACGACGATAAGTTGGTTGAGAACCAACACGAGGAGATGATTAGGGCATTGGAGTGGCTATTAATGGTTGATGAGACTTGGGCATTGGTTTTCTCTTTTGGAGTGAACGTCTACAAGTATTTCCTTAGTATGTTTCTTTCATGGCTCCAGCGAACAGTTGTTGTTGATTTATTTGTGCTAACGAGAGATCTAGAACATATGCATCTTCTGGCGGCGAGGCGTCTTATGGAGAGAGTTCCGTTCCACGAAATTATGCAGGGAACTGGTTTGGACGATGATGATGGGGCCATGGATAGGATCACATTCTGGTCTGATCAACTCAAGGAAAAGAACATCACTTCAGTCGCCCCTGAGAAAGTCATGGCTGACGCACGCAACTTCCGAGAGCTGGAGTCACTTGTCCGTGCCTTGGACAGCCTGGAAACTATCGGATCTCTGGTTGAGATCTCAGCAGAGTACGTCACATCTGTAATTCTCCATCGCGTTGACGATGCTAACCAAAGCAGTATTCCTCCCAACAACCGCGAGTACTGGGGTAACTTCGCTGCCGCAGCTCGCACCGTTAAGGAAAGCATGGAGCCACTTTTGAAGAACTGGTTACTTGCTGGCATCCAATGTAAGTTCACCCCCCTTGGCAGATCAGGAGTAAATGAAGAAAGGATTGGCTGACATGATTTGTTAATAAAAGCTGGCGATGGTGAGCTCAACAACTTGCGAGAAGTTTATCTCCCCGAAACAGTGCTGGCATACGTCAGCGCCTTGCACATTGCTGGCACTTCCCTCTCGCGGGATTGGCTGTTGGAGTGCATGCAGCTTGCCGCTGTGGTTGCTGAGCGCGACTCGGATCTCGAAGGCACATTTGTTAAAGCTAAGCGCGTCAAGGAGCTTCTGGAGGCATTTGCTGCCTGCAGCAAGGCACTGGCCATTACAACCGGCGACAAGCGCGCCGCGAGCCAGGGCAGCAAGAAACTTCGTGAGATGGGATGGTCGCGGGATCTCTGGTCCGTCAAGTCATCTTGAATGGAGTAGAGAGGGAGGTGTATTTCGAAGGGAAAGTGGCTTTCAGTGAAAGCAACTTCATACAAGTAAAAGAGCAGCAACTGGGCATTGGCAGGCGGAGGGTCTCAGAACGACATTCAGCACAATGATGTCGAGGCGTTCAGGGAGAATTCGAGGTGTTTCGTTTTTCTTTGTTCCATGGGTTTCCCTCGGCCATTGAAACCCTCGTGGAAATGTAAAGGATTAATAGTACAACAAATAGCTAGAGGTTTTGGGTTTGAATCGGATTGCTTTTCTTTGTTAGTCGACATCTGGCTCGTAAGACGGCAAAGCTATTCTGAACTGTGAAAGATGGAAAGACGCAGATCCTTCCTCCTTAATTAAGAGGACAACCTTAAAACTAGAAAGGAAAGGAAATGCCTTGAGGGGGATCCGATGGCAATATAGATCGTACATCTCGGCTCGAGCCGGCTTAGCCGTTGGCCACGGGAGGGAGGCCCGAAGATAAGATATGTCGTCAGCAGCTCCACCCCCACACTTCAAGCCAAACTACTGGTGATACTGCATCAGTGACAGCTGCATACTATCCCACACATTGCTGGCGCCAGAGAAAGAATTCGGCTTTCCAACACCAGGCCCTTCCACACAGCAGCCATGGCGAGCTTCGCAGCAGAGGTGCCTGGCCCGACCCCCACGCCTCCCGCGCCCCCTCCCAAGCCCGGCAGCCACGACGCCAGCGGCATCAGCACCCCCACGGTCTCCGGCAGCGGCAACTCGGGACCTGCATCACGGCCAGCATCCGCCATTGAAGGCCGCCCGCCCCCCGGTGCCATCGAGCCGCCGCCGGCCAGCATACCGGACCCCGGGCCTCAGTGGCTGCCGCGCATCCTCCAGGACAAGTCGTAAGCTTACCACTTTCCATCACGTCATGTAGGAACCTCACCGCTGAACTATGTGTTAGGAAGCAAGACATCGCCGACATCCTCGCCAACCCGGCCCTCCTCGACGCCCTCACCCAGTCCCCGCAGACGATCCACCCGTCCCTCCAGTCCTCGCACGCGGCGCTGCAGCGCGCCCTCGCGGACAACGTCGACCTGGCGTCC